ATAAGCTGCCCTCATCAATATTTTTATATCTACCATTTGTAAAATAGCAAAGCGGAATATGAACATTTTTTCTTGTAGAAAAATAATCAGCCAACATTTCATTCCCTACAGCTCTACAGAATGTTGCTAGCATACATTTTAACAGGTCAAATTAACAGTTAGCGAAAGGATTCTCTATCTCACTGCTGTTGTTGAGTCATTATCCTTGAAAATATCTGATAAAACTGCTTCATGAATGAAATGAAAGCGCTTTTTAGCATGTAGGTCGTTGCAGTAGCTAGTGGAGACCAAAGTAGTAGTAGAGGAGAGCAATAATAATTGTGAAAGATGCTAATGCTAGCTTGAGCATCTCTATAATGCTAACTGCTCTCTTAGCTCGCAGGTTAGTGTCATCAATATCCATGTTAGGAAGTGAAGAAATGTACATGTTGCTTTTAGGTTGGCTTCCGTTCATGAAAGAGTATGTTTTTGATACAATTTATGTGTCAGTGTGGCAAATGTATGCTAAATACAATTTAAAACAGTCAATCTAATGTTTACCGCCATGTTCTACTACAAAACTCCTTACAAGTTTGAAACCAATCACAATAATGATGTAACAAATCATTAATAACAACACTGTATTTTTAATACTATAATATTAAAATTATATATGTGTCCCTCGTGAATATTATGATGTGGTCATAATAATATATTATGACCCCAAGAGTCAATGAACAATAATCTTGAAATCTCTAAAGCACACCGTTTTTTTGATATGTGGAACTAAATTATAGGTTATCTATATGTCTCCTGACACTCATCAGTAATATAGAAACTATATTCAGCATTATTTATTGATAGTTAAAATTGGAATGTTACCTTAAACATAAATCGGTAGACTCTGCTAATGTATTGATTGTACTCTTTTATGAACAGGTTATGTGCTAATATGTTGAAAAATCTATATCTTTATGCACATCATGTCTCCCCGAGTTGGTTGTTTGTAGCAACGCTGGTTTGATTTGCGTTACTATAGAAGGGAGGAGTGCACAGACAAATATGGATCATACCTGTGGGGCGTATAAGCCACGAGCTCTGGATTAGAAGTCATTTTTCTTCATTAAAAGTAACCTTTTGGTCAAGATAACAATGCTAATAAAAAGAAAACAAATGCCTGACACAGTGTTGCTTTTTAATTTGATTGTTGTCAGTTGATTATTGTGATTATTGATTGGCTGGTGTCTATCAGGAGCACATTGTGCTGGTCATGCATCTAATGATTCATTTCAAAGGAATCAACCAGTTTAAAAGCTTAGAATTAAAACGTCAGGAGCAAGCAGTGAATGGGAAAGCCATTTAATAATGCAGAAGGGAAATGAACTGGTTGGTCAGAAGATCAGATAGTTTAAAATTCAGTGTGCTCTTTCTTTCTTTTTTTTACATGCCTAATTTTAGTTCTTGCAGACAGTAACATGTTCTAAATTTAAAATATGTAATATTCAAGTCCAACTTTTGAGATACTTTGAGGAAGCCTTTTACCCATCCATCTAATTTCTTAACAGCTTAACCAGTTCAGGGACTGAAATAGGCTTAGTGTTTGTGGTCATCAACCACAGCAGTCAGAATGGATTGAGAGAAGAGGAGGAGGACACGTGGCGGGGGCTGTAGGAGACCAGGTAAGCAGGACAGAGTGATGACCTTCACTCTCTGATAGAAACTGACAGAAGCTTGATGGAGCCTGTGCAGCTGGAATCATGTTGAATTATTCCTGACATGAACCTGCAAGAAGCCTTAAAGCCACTGAGGTGCATTGTGTGTTGTAGCATTAGAATTAATGAAAGAAACCCCACCAACAGCTGTCCAAACAATCTTGCCTTCAGTTGCTCGATACCAGAGTTTTACTTTCCAACTGTTGAGCCCAGAAGCTGCAGTGCTTGGCTAGCTTGCGCTTTGCTGGAGCATCAC